GTTGAAATTGCAGGATAATAATTTACGTCTTCGAACTTCGAATTCGATGTGAATTTATCCGTTTTGTCGATAATTCATTCTGAATGTAATATTTATATTTTGGGAAATTTAAATACGACGGGAAACATTTTCTGATGCTTCTAGTTCAAAATCCTATAAATCAATTTATAATCAATAATATTTGCATTTTTGTAATTTTAAATTTGGTAAGAATTTCCTTGATTTTCGAGAGACAATTATCTCTTTAAATTTGATATTGCAAAAGAAAATCTAGATTTTGCAGTGAAAAACAGTCCTGAATAAGGTGGAAAAAGAAACCGGAACTGACTCGATCCCTTTCGAACCGGATGCTGCTTTTGTCCAGTGGAATGACTGATGGCTAACAAAAAAATTCTTCAAATTCGGGGGTCGATTTCTTAATTACTCTGCAATCAATCTTTCGGTAAAAAGAGTCCCCCGTTAATTCGGCCAGTGTGAAGGGAACGAGCGTCTGCGCAGCCGTCCCTTCGGGTGTGTAAAAAGCGTCAGCGTTTCGGGCGCTTAATCTGGATAACAAATGATCTTAAAAATATCCGTCACGTCGGCCCTTTAACGGGTGAAAAAGCAGCCCGAGTCTGGGCAAAACGAGCAACCTCGATTTAGTTTCGCGCGGCGCAAAAAGGGGTTCATTTAGATATCAGACGCACGAATAATACAGATAAATGGCCGGGGCCATGTCGCCTTTTATTCCCTCATTTCGCAGATGGAATTCCAATAATTATTAAACCTTTTTTTCGCGGTCACCGTGATCCAGCAGTTTTTTCCAACGATTAAACGCAAAAGGAACGCGGACATTGTACTGTAATTGTTATTTAAAAGGAATCTGGTGAAAAATGGAAGTTATTTTCAATTTAGAGGGTTGAACGTTCGAAATTTAATATCCTTTTTCCCTCACGAGTGTTTACTGACAAGATTCACGCAGTAATTACACGATTTTACAGTGTTTCCCGCATAACTGCACGAGTCGTATTTCAGTTAACCGAAATGAAGTCAATTTTAGTACCGAGTGTTTATAAATGAAAATTTCAAGCTTTACTACATATTGGACTTCTTGGAAAAGACAAGGGAGCTCAAAATGGCTACCGTTCGACAAGAAGATGGAATCTTTCGTTTTTTTTACGTTCACCGATAAGTATCTCGGTTGGCGGCGCACGAAACTTCCTGTACATCGAGAAAATTCATTTGTGCGCGCAAGAAGGGGAGGAAAAAAAACCCGGATAAAAAGACCGAAGTCCATCAGTGTCATTATTGTGACCGTCTGTACATAGGCGCCGAGCCACTCGAGTACCCCCGTTAGTTGCATCCGGAGCTTCTTTCAAGAGGTTGCCTGCTATTTAAGGCCTCAGCCTCCTTTGATTACTGGCGCGTACCTCGTTATCTTTGAGAAGCCAGGCCACGTCGTACTCATTATACAAGGTCGCTCTTCGCCCGTCCGCGGAAAGGGAGGGAAAAGTTTCGGCGTAACAAAATCGGTTTGCCGGGATGAGAAAGGCAAGCAACCCCCACAGTGAATCCCCGCGTTTCGAACCCCCTTTTTACGCTTTTACGTTCCAATCCCGGTCGTTGCTTCCAACGCTACGCACTAAAACACTGTTCCCGTTCCACCCTTTCGATCGCTGAGACGCCAATGCACAGTCTGTATCGCAAATATTTGCACCCCCTCGATGTTTGCTAAAGAAATCTGCTCGAACCATCTACCTTGCAGGATTTTAAGATTTTTCTTAAAACAATTCCGCGATAGCGTTCACGGAAGAATCAAAAGTAGAATGAGATCAACAAACAGATTTCAACCACTTTGAAAACCACCGAAGGGAAAAGGATTTGTTTCCTCGGGGAAGAAAAGGAATCGAGCTTCGTTTCTTATCATTTTGACTCTCGGGAAGGCCAGGAAGTCGTAAAGCGTTACCCAGGTGGTTCTACCTGCGAACACGGGTCGAAAATGTATAATAAATTGCTATCGTATCCGGGCAAAATCGATTTCGAAGATACACGACTACACGCCCGTTTGATCGATGATTCTTGTTGCGCCGCCAATGCATTCGCCAGAGCACTCGTCGTTTCCCAGAGTCGACCGTCGGATTTGTAAAAGGAGAACGGCGTGTCGGATGACGATATTCAATTTATAATGAAACTATTTATCTTTTATCAAAGTATCGGAGGCAAGTCAAGCATTCTGGTGAAGATTAGTCGATAAGCAAAAGAAGTTCGCGTAGAGAAAGTTTATCTATAATAAACAGAATCTAAACGAGAGTGGGAAATAAATTTTTCTCGCCGTTGAAACGAATCAAATCGCGGCCCAACTTTCCGTATTCGAATACGTCCATCTTTCGGTACCTTTAATCTCGTTGAATATCTGTTTTAACGTGACCCGAAACGCGTGGGAGGTGGATGTTATTGGTTATCGGAGATTCAGAACGATCACGTTTCCAATATACATGCTATCCGGTAAATGTATAAAGAGAAAGTTAATAAAAGCAACTCGAGTCTGCATTGCTTTACAAATACCACCCCTATCTCGAACATACAGACTCCCCGAAACAGGAAATCTGCAAGAACATCCGACGAACAAAGTGTTCCACGCCGTGGGTCGTTTTGTTATCGGAATTATGGCCACCGACGATATTGAATTTTTGGTAGTTTTGATAACGCGAGACGTTTTCGGGAACGAAAATAGCTACTGTTTCAAACCCTTCGGCCGTTGGAGTCCATTTTATTGTACATTTTCTATTCTCTATTTATTTTCGACCGTGGATTTACTTGTCGCTAAGATTCATTGTTAAGAAAATTTCCATGGGGCTTTCGAACTTGTATTAAGTTTGGACAGCTGTTTAATACGTTATTTTATATTTGTTTACGCATTAATTATACGATTTTACGGTATTACCCGGATAATTGAACGAGTCATATTTCAGTTAACCGAAACGGAGTTAATTCTAGTATCGAGTTTGTTTATAAATGAGAATTTGAAGTTTTCATGACATATTGAACTTTTCTGAAATAACCATGAACACTTTCGAAGATATTTGAATGGACATAATTCGCGAGACACACTGTATATTGAATATGATTTTTTTCCCCCAGCAATTGTTGACCATCGAGGTTAATTATATGATTTTACAACATTCCCCGGATAAGTGAACGACTCGTATTTCAGTTAACCGAATAAACGAAGTTAATATAAAACAAAGTCCTCCAAAGAATATATTCTAGTTCGTTAGTAAGCACGGGGATGATTCGAGCGTACTGCGGGCCTTGTTTCAACAGTTCTAAGTAAATTCAGGCTTCCTTTCATCGAGGATGACCGCGACTGTAAATTATACTTGCCCTTTGTTCGCGGAGAGAACGATAGCCTCTCTGTACGGGTCTCGCAAAAATGACGAAACGAAATCGCGCGACTTATCCCTTCACAGAGGGATCTTGTGGTTCGCCAGGATTTCCGGTTCGCTCTGTCGCAGACGTCGTTAATGCTCGAGCACGCGATAAAGCCTGAGGGGGATATTCCGTTGAAACCCCTGGCATTTTTTCCCCGCATTTCTCTTCCCTGTTCGCGTCTCTTTTCGCGAGGGTGATCCTCGTTTTTTGCCCATTTTCATCTTTCTCTCGAATCGTGCCTTCTTATCGCGTCTCGCTTCGTTTCGCGTTCACCGAAACGTCGAAGATTACTTCACCGAGGCACCCTCTGGTATCTCTGTTTTGGAAATTAGTCGCCAACGAACCCCTAAAACTAATCGTTACGAGCAACCCCAATTCATTTATTTGATTATCTGGGGCTAGAGATTCGATTACAGTCCCTATCACAGGACAGGAAATTAATTTTGTAAATATTCTTTAATTAAGTTTCATATTGTTAAGAAATACTAGGGAAGAAATTTAGAAATACATTAAAATGATAGATAATCGATTCTGCAATCCTGAGTATAACCCAAATAATCAACGAAATAAATTCTTTTTACAAATTTCCAAATATATTAAGCCCTCCGGTATAATGTGAGACCGATGGAGCCAAATTTTTTCAAAGAAAAAAAAGAGATCGTTTCGTCACGAAATTATTCATCGAGATCCCGTCGCGTTCGCGAGGCAAAGTCCAAAGACATCCGAGACGCCAGTCGTTCATCATACAGGCGGTGTGACGTCGCTGAACATTCCTCATTAGTATGTCCGACTCCCTCGTTAGGTTCAGCACGTAACCTTTGCGTCGTAAATCAAATGAATAATTAGCCGCGGAAGTTCGGAGCGTGCCTGAATAAACAGACAAGTCTAACAGCCTGTCCCTGCAGACGTCTTCAGCAGCGATATCCAGAGTATAATAGACGTGAAAAGAACGGCAGAGAGAAAGAATGTACAACGATCCCTCGTTAACGTTCGCTCGGGGGTCCTTGATGTGAACGTTATCGAGAGAGGCACTGTAAAATTGATCAAATTCCAGAATACTGACAAGGGAAGGACCACAATGATAGCAACCAAAAATAATTTTTTCAGAACGATTTGAAATTTGTTTTTTACGTCGAAAAATTGTTTGGTCGATATGGAACTTTAAACGTTAATAACTTTTGAACGAAGCCTAAATCAACAAATTTCTTGATTTTCGTCTTATTTTGGTCTCTAGAATCTCCTATTAAAATTTTTCTCAGGAGAGGCCAAACACCCTGTATGAATAAAAAGAATTCAATTATGCTAAAATTTACATGTTCCTTCAGCCTCTGAATGCTCCCAATCTCCCAGGACCTTTGATCTCGAAGACTGTTTCATCGCGATCCAAAACGTCGGAGGATTCTTGGCTATAGAACCCGGTAAATGAATAAAGAGGAAGCCGATAAAAGCAACTGCTCGCTAGCTTTCCAAATATCGCTCCAATTTCCAAAGCCAAGACGTCGAAGATAAAAAATTCGCGAGCCCCATAGACGTAGAAAGAGCCCTTCCACCCCGTAAATAATTAACGAAGGTTCCGGGCGATGGTTTACCTGAATAAACAGAGACAAGTCGTCTCCTAACAGCATGTCCCTGCAGACGTCTTTAGCGGTGGTGTCCAGAGTAAGATAGACGAGGCTGCTCTCGATCCCCGTGTGTATCCTGACCCAGCCACTCCCGGTGCCCACGTCCACGCCGACCCCCGAGTCCCACGAGGAATTGAAGGTCTCCTGCAACCTGGCCACCTTGGAGTTCCTCGTCCCCGACGAAGGGCTATCGTTTTGAATCGAGTCGCTGCTGAAGCTGTCCATCTTCTTCTCCTCCCGCGACGCCTCGACGCTATCGAATCTCTCGATGGTCTCGTCCAGATTCTCCAGGATCTCGTTCTCCAGGGTTGTTTGATCGACCCCGACGCCTTCACCCTTTCCATCCACGGTGTTACCGACCCGATCGATGGTGTCGCGAGTCCCTTCGTCCCTGTTTGCTCGTGTACGATTCACCTCGTCATCGATTTTCACTTCGTTACAGCTATTGGAATAAGTCTCCGGGTACAATCCGGAGCTCCCCAGACAATCCTCGCCGTTGATCGTCGCGTCTACGTGCCTCCCCGACGAGTCGTTCGGGCATCTTCCCTCGTCCTTCCTCGACCTGGAGCATTCGGATCTCGTAACGGTCCTGGCTTTATCGTCCTGGAAGCCGGGTTTGGCCGCCATGATGAAGTTCTCGTTATCGCAGATCCTCGATCTCGAGGTCTTCGTCGATCGTTTCTTGTCCAACGCGGCCACCTTCTCGCAATGATCCTTGGAGAACGTGAACTTGTTGATGTCCAGCTTCCGTTGCCTCAGTGAATCCTGACACTTCCTAACGACGCATTCCGTTTTCGTTCTGCTCTTGCGTTCCTTCTCCTCCGAGATCGCACGACTCCTACCGATCTGCACCTTCGACACCGTTTCGCCCACGTCTTTGCCCTCTTTGCGCTTCGACTTTTGTTGGAACCTCTCGTAATTCGCGAGAATCTTCTGATTCAATTCGTGAATCAGCTCCAACCTCTTGGTGATCGAATCGTTGGTCTTGTCCGTCTTCTTTCTGCCCCATCGATTCGGCCCCTCCTCCTCCTCGTTCTTCGTCGATTTCTGAGGCAGCTGCCTCCTCTGTTTCTGCTTTCTGCCCGACGAACCGTCCCCGGGTATCCCGATCTCGTACTTCGAGTCGCTTTTGATGACGTTCTCCTCCTCGTCGGGTCGCTCTATCACGTCCACGTCGATCGACCACGAGCCACGACGTTTCTTCTCCGCGTCCTGACGGAATCCCGACACGTTCATCAGTTCCAGACCCACCTTCGCGTTTCTGTTCTCGCGACGATCGTTCCCGTTCTCGTTGATCGCGTCGATATCCGGCTTCTTGCGATTCTCGCTGAACTCGATGCCCCTCCTGGCGTCCGGTCTCACGGACAGACCTGTGCTGGAACCGCTGCTCAGGCTGATCCTCTCGTTCAATTCCCAATTGATCGCCGGCCGTCCCTTTGTATCGGTCACGTTCCTGCTAACTATGGGACACAGACCCAGCTTCTGATTGAGATCTTGTCGGGGGATCGTTTGTCCAGCCGTGTTTGCGCTGCCACGAACCTTCAAACCCCTCGTCGACGACAATCTGCGGGACCTTCTCAGCTTGCCCGCCGTGTTCGACATGGTTTCGACGCTGGATTCGCTCGCGATCACCATCCTGATTACGGGATTGTTCCCGTATTTTACGATCGTGGGGTCCTGTTGGCGAGAGATGGAAAAGGAAAGGAAAGAGGTGGCATCCTAGCAGACTCTGCTTTAGACGCCGGAATATTGGAAGGTCGAGCGCTTGCGAGAAAAACGGTCCCTCTGGCGGCGAGTACTGGAGGCGATGGACTCAACACGATCATCGTCCTCGCGTTGGAATTGAGTTCCACGTTCGAGAGGTTGGCGAGAAGAAACTTGACATTGTCGAGGTGTTCTCGTTCGTCTGTAAAAGTGAAAAGAACCGTCAGTGTCTGGGTAAAATAATTCTGAGGATTAATCGCTGCGTTGAATTGAGCTTATAATCGTGCAATTTCCCTCGTTCCAATGTGAATGAAAATCTCCCGGAAAATAAACCGTTCATTCCAGATGCGTCGAACGACGCGGATTATTAAAGCAATTTTGAAAGACAGAGAGTAAACGAGCGTCTGTACAGAAATTTTGCGAACGTGGCGATAAACGAATCCGTCGATAGATAAATAGAAAGTGAGATACGTGATTCGAACCAACAAAATCGACGCGTTTCCCTCTTTTTGAGGATACTGCTCGCCTCTGCACCTTCCGTCGCGATTTCTAGTTACACAGGGTGACCCAATTGGCCCAAGAGAAACGAAGCAAAGACGTTCTATAGTAAATCTTTTAAAAAAGTCTCAAATATCAGATTTTCAGGTCCCAAAACTACTGATGGAACAGATGGTCTCTTTAAAGAGATCGTTTCTCGGTTTATTGGAAAATCGGAAGGTTAAACGACGGTTTGAGAAGCTCCTTGTATATTTATCGACGGTTAACGAGATAGCAAGAAAAATTCTCAGGTAAGAGGAAGAAAAAGATTGAGAAGGCTTCTGAATACGAAAAACGAGAGATCCTTCCTCCGTTTTCCTCCTTTCGCGTCCCTGAAGAGGTATGATAGATACTTGGGAGACAATGACACGAATTACCATTGTTTTGCGAGATACCGAGACTGTCGCCGACCCGAGGAAACTTATTGCGCAAATAGCAAGGCATTAATTTCTCCCCTGGGTATGCAACGATAATTAGACGCTACGTTCGGTTGTGGAAACCGTTTTCTACGCAATATTAATGAATCGTTGGAGATTCTTAGCGGGCAGTTTACCTTAATACTTAATACAAACGTTTCCCTGAAAGGTCTCTTCGTGCCAGTGTCCCCCGAGAACTGGGTCGTCTTTGAGATTTTTTTAAAAGAGAACTATAAGTCGAAAGTCCCTAAAATTTTACGCACGGTTTCGTCGAGTGCCTCGAAAGGTTTTCGAATTTTTACGGCGAGAAAATCGACGTACTTTGAGACGATATAAAAATACACACCTTTCGATAAATTAATTTTAAACGAATCAAGCGTTTCGAGTCGAATTATTTATTTTTCGCCGCGAAACGATCATCCCCCGTAAATCTCCTTACTTGAATACCTTAATTTTATTAAGCTCGTAGACACGAGTTACTTCCGTTTCGATAAATACGAAAGCTCGGGAAACGATAATTCCCGCTCGTTGCGTTCGCGCGTGTTTAGAGAAGCAATATCATTTAAAATTGTTACGGAACAGATATTTTTCCACCGTGGTTCGAACCATCGGGATTTACCATCGACCCGTCGCTGACAATATCGCCAATAGCCGTAATCCACGATGCCGCTCTAATTCAGAACGAGTCGATGTAATATAAAATACATCGAGCGGAAGGCACTAAAAATAAACGGTGTAATATTTTCTTGAATGTCTTACTGGAACGCCGATGGAAGAAAATGTTTTCCCGACCGATGGCAACGAGGAGTTTCAACGAGATAAATGAAAGTAACAAGATTCGAACGGGTGGATGCTAGAAAGCATATTTTAAGCGCGCATTAAACGTTACGATCTCTTTTTTAGGTCTTCTTCCCATATAGAGAACTAATCCTAATGCTTTTTAAAAATTTATTTAAATTGGATAAGCGTTTACATATACATTTTATTTTCTCTTCGTTACTTTCTACGAAACATATTTCTTTGTATATTTTTCATCTTCATTTTTCAAAATGAAATTATGTAGCTCTTAATTGTTGCTGAAGAAAACGTGCATCGAAACGAGGTCGAAATTTTCCTCAGGCATTCACTGTTTCTATTCTCCCCGTTTAATGGAAATTAAATCTGAGGCACAAAAATTATTCTGCAACTGGTTTTCAAATAAAATTTCTACGCGTTACGAAAGAATTTTTTAAATTAATATATTAATTTTAAACATTTTGCATTGCATTTAAACGAAATTTAGAATAAATTTAGATTTTAATTCGATCGAAATATATTCAGTCGACGCTTCCTTTGCCTTAATAAGGTATCAATTAAAATTGTTTTGTAATTCGATATACACGGAAACGTATGGGTGCACAAACAGGTCCATTCAATTTCAATTAAACGTCGATGTTTTGTACTATCGCAAGTGCAATTAATGTTGCGTATTTATTAATAATTCCGAGGGCAGATTTTACATTCATTTCTGTGCGCAGTTCCATACGTTTAATACAGAATATCAGAGGAATGTCGTTGACATGAAATAACAATCAGCCATATTAATGGATGCTTCGTATTTCCGTGTATTCATCGCTAAAATCAATATGTACGTGCAATGTTCATTTCGTTCCTGCTAGATTCGTGCAGTATAAAGCAAAATTCACTCGATGCCTCAACAAAACTTCTTTTTACTTTCTATGGTACAATGCTCGGTAAAACGTGAAGAACGTTTGCAAGTGGTGGCTTAAAAATATTCAGTTACGAACAGTAACAAATGATTGCATCGATATTCGAGAATTTATTTTCTACCAGAGAACAGTGTTTTTGTGATGAAAAATATACAGAGCGTTTCAAACAGACGATTAAAGAACAAAGACATATATATTGTTTATAAAACTAGGCAAACAAATGAAGACGAAGTTAATTTCGTTATAATTATGTTTTACTGTAATTCATTTTAATTCATTTCTAACTCAATTGTTTGCAGTGTACTTTTTGTACAATCCTTTTCTAGATATATAATAATTTATACCGAAGAAGACCTAACGAAGATTATTTGTCGTACTCGATATTACAGGGGCAGTAAATTCGTAATCAACAATTTTTATATCGTCAAACTCTTCGCCAATCTTTTGGGCTCACCCTGTATACGCTCAACATGTTCTGATGTCACACGGTGAATAACGAATTACGAACTTTTTCGATAGCAACGTCCGATTCCAGACTTCTGAGTAGCGTCGTACGTGACGCAATCAGCACAGCCACGGAATATTAACGTAGACGGCGATCGAGCTTCGAAACCCAAAGTCCAACAATGCCTAACGATGTTCTTGGGGCTTGACACAAGGCCAGAAATTCCACGCGTCCATTCAGACCAAAAACACTTGACATAAATATCGATAAAACACTTGCCTTTTTCGTCCTCGATGAAATACAAAGGAATTCGATCTTCCCTCCTGTGTGCACGTCCGATGACAAAGACCCTTCAAACGCACTTTGTTATACTTTCACGATTGTCAAGGATGCTGCAAAAAATCTTTAGTCGAATCCTCTATTGTCACCAGTGTCGAGCCAATATTCCGTGCTCATAAATCGTAAACAAAAATCTTCGTAAGTTGATGTAGACTTGTTACCAAACAGAAGACACTGAACTAAATGAATTATCTCGATGCACTGTTCACGCGACACTCGAACACTGAACCTTATCCTCCAAAGTAACTCACGTCACGAACACCTAACACACGATACTATCGACACTCGGCATCAAACCCACCGTAGGAATCCGAAAGAAGTCACAGCCACGAATTAGCAAACGCTGTATCGACAGAGATCTCGTTAACGATCTGGCGGGAAAATGTGCAACGAGCCAATCACCAGTGAGTTCGAACACTGGCGCGTAGCGAGACATCGCGAGCACTGGCCAGGCTTGGAGGATTGTCGTATAGCGTCCGACATCATGAATATATCGTCCGGCCACCTGTCTGTCTCTCTACCTGTTGACCATGCTGTACGAGCCTCGTACCGACGAGGACAGAGCGAGGGGACAATGAAACGCGATAGAGGTGGGGAGGCCAGAAGAAGAGGGACGATGAATTAAGGGGAGTAGGAGACGAAAAAAGAAACTCGTAGCACGGGAGAATTCTGAAAGTTCGCGGGTAGGGGGGATGCAACGCGTGCAAGAAAGGGATGAAGAAGCGTGGAGAGAACGAAGACGAGGCTAAACGTCTCTGTTACACGTGCTCGTTTCACGTGGTTACGGGAAGTGGGAAGGTGCTCCCAGCTGTCGACCACGAGGGTCGGGGGGTCGACCAATGTGGGAGAGTGATGCACTTCCGTCCTCCGATACGCTCTTCTTTTCGTTCCCCCGGATTAACTTCGACCGCGTTCCGCGCGCGCAATCGCGCGGTATTTTCGAAGGCGTGCACGTTGCGTCGACTTTGTTATGCGGTGGATCGAGTGTCGAGAAATAGTATAACGCTTTCGTTAGCGACATTGCAAGAACTATAACGAACAGTTATGTCTTTATTTATCGACTGTTAATTTTTACGTTCGATCTGCTCTACCATTTGGGCGTTTGCTTTTGCTAGCTTTTTGCTTGCTGTTTATGATGATTACTATATAACGTACTGATACTGATTTTAACATAGAATAACCCTGCATTTATAAAAAGTGCTCAGAAATATATGGTACAAGCAATTTTAATACATTCACTGTTCGTGACCCGTATATGGGTCATATCACCTGAGAAATCGACTAGAGAACGTGTGAATTTTTTTTAAATAATTGTGGCAGCCTGTATGGTCGACCAGCTTGACCAGTAACAGTACGCGCGAGAAATTCGAGCGACGACGTAATTTTAGCATCGACGTTTATATGCATCGCGAATGTAGATTGATGAATTTGATTACTTGCATTGAAATGCCCCGACATCAAGCTGTTATTTAAAAACAATAATACAGTCCAGGCATTAATTAAGTTTCCCGCGAATGAAAATTTATGAATATTTCGCCGAAGTTTGCGGGAATATAATTTACATATCGCGAGCGTAAAACGTTGTAGCGTGATTAATGGATTGCCCTGTTAATGAATCGAATAATTAACACCGCGGGGCGAAACGTGAAACGATAGCCCGACCGAGTCGCGGAGACAGACTGATTTTAAATTCGTAAATAAACGGATTTATAATTTAATCGAAACGAACGATTTTAAGTAT